TTGTCAATGCACTTCATCGTTTTTGAGCACTTCAACGTTGGGTAATGGTTAGCAAGCTTGTCTTGCAAGATCAACTGCGGCTGAATAATCAGTTCGATCCTCACTGGGTGCCCCACACTTTTAAGCTCTCCAACAAAAAAATTACCCGTGTATAGAAAAACCGCTCACTGAAAAATGCATTATTTTTAAACTCTTAAAAAAAAAAAAAAAAATTTTGTATAGTGCGCACACCCGTAATAATAATTATTATTAAAGTAAACTGATAATAAAATATCACACTATATTCACGTACTAACCAAGTATTTGCTGTTTTTTGTTTTTTTTTTCTGGGTGTTTCAGTTAATTTTTGTGCCTCTTTGTCAATGCATTTAATTTAATGGTAGGTTCTAAAAGGAATTTAAAAAATTGTAATTCAGTAATCAAAAAAACCTTTGGTCTTTTCTCTTAAAAATAGCATACAGATTGCAACGATGAAACTTTGTTTTAATTACGTTTCGGACATTTTTTTTTTTTTTCATCCTAGTTTGTTCATTTTTGAGCGATTTTTTTTTTTTTTTTTGTGGGTTCATCGGTAAATATCAGTCGCGTAGCTCGAACTTTATACAATGAAAATTTTAGCTCAAATCTAGCTTATTACTTGTTAGTGACGTCATTCAGCCTAATTATAAGTTAAAGAAAAAAAACAAACTGAAAATGCCAATTTTGAATACCTGATGACAAATTTACATTATTCGGAATGTTATCCTCATCTTCATTACCATATTCACAATGTTTCAGCCGTTGAACTCTCCGACCATCTTCAGGTGATTGGAATTTCGATCCGAAACCTTTATTTCGTCGACCAGGGTAGATTGTTCTAGTTCCACGTGGCATGCCTCTTCCGGATGTCTCAGTTATTTCCTTTTAACTCAACTTTCCAAGTTTTTTTTTTTTTTTTTTGGTCCACCACTGCTGTGGCCTGGTATTGAACTCACAGCTCTTTGGGTCTACTTACTGGATCTAACCAACGTCTTTATTTACTGGGTCATGTTTCCTTGGAACTAGGGCAATCTACCCAGATTGGACGAAATAAAGGGTTCGATTCGAAATTTCAATCACCTGAAGAAGGCCGGAGCGTGCAACGACTGAAACGTTGTGAATATGTCGGTGAAGATGAGAATAATGCAAGTTATCATAATACCTCATCTCCAAGATTGTTGTAACCTAGAAAAGATTACTGAACGAGGATTAACCAAAATGGAGGTTGGAAATTAAACGGTAATCTTTGTAACATCAACAAAATACAATACTCGCCAGCGGCGTGTAGTAGGTAAACCACTGCTAGTGGTGGACTACATAGACGACATGTTTATATTTATTGTATAAACATACAATTATGGCATAAGGGGGAATGGGTTGAGGCTGGTCTTTACTGACTGTCTGATACCTAGCAAATCCGATTCACGACCCATTCACTCATTACAATTTGCACATTCACCACAAGAACTCATCCATCACCAATCACTCCTTCATATTCCACAATGCCGCATCCTCATGGGGGACCTACAAAACGCACCCCGTGATATTAAAATTTGATGATCATAAAATTATTATACAGTGTAACCCGGATATAAGAGAGTTGTGGGACCGGAGAAGAGGTCTCTTATATCCGGGTTTGGTCTATTTTATAGACATTAACACAGGCTCTAATTTGGGACCAGAGAAAATCTCTCTTATATCCGGGTTACACCATATCATTTTCCCACATACAGTGTAACCCGCATATAAGAGAGTTGTCGGGACCGGAGAAGTCTCTTATATCCGGGTTTCTCTTATATCCGGGTTTGGTCTATTTTGTTTACCTTAACCCAGGCTCTAATTTGGGACCAGAGAAAATCTCTCTTATATCCGGGTTACACTGTATCATTTTCCCATATACAGTGTAACCCGGATATAAGAGAGTTGTCCTGACGGGAGAAGTCGTCTCTTATATCGGGTTTCTCTTATATCCGGGTTTGGTCTATTTTATATACATTAACACAGGCTCTAATTTGGGACCAGAGAAAATCTCTCTTATATCCGGGTTACACTGTAGATAAAAATCTAATGATTGACAATAAAAAAAGGGAGGGATGAACCCCAAAACAAACTAAATATCCAAACAAAGCAAACATGAACATAACTGATGTTAGTAGGACCCGTCCAACCCTGAAAAGAAGAGGGCGCTGTAAACAATTGACGACAGAATAAAATTTTCCCATTCGAAATGTAAAAAAAAAAAGAAAAAAAATGTGGGGACAAACCGGGAATAACATTTATAAAAACTATGAATATATATATATATATATATATATATATATATATATATATATATATATAACGAACACACACACAAACAACCTGGGTTTTATAATAAGTATAACTTGATATGAGTTGTCCCCCTTTCATTCTCGCGATGCCTCTTAATCGTGTTTTCAAATTGATTTCATGCAAAAACAATTTTGTTTTTCCAATTTTTGGCACTGTCAGAACCACAGCAAGGTAATTTTACGCAGTCCTGTGAAGTTTTGTTGAAATCGGTTGAAAAATGTAGGAAATCCGATCCAATATATAAACGTACAGACACACACACAATCTGCGTTTTATAATATTACCTCCACTTACAATAGTGTCCAACGTATTTATGAGGATTGGGACATACCGATTCGATGAATATATTATATATATATATATATATATATATATATATATATATATATATATATATAACGGAAAAACAAAAAAAAATCCTTATATACAATTATGCAGTTTTAATGCTAATATGTCAACGTCGGACGTTTCGGTCTAATAAATCATCTTAGGACATATTCATAAATTATAACATTATCAATACAACATGACAAAGACGATGTACATAAGAACAAGACTTATCCAAACAGAATAACTGAAAGTTTTATAAGATCAGCGCTCCGTTTAAAACATGGTCACATTGTCGTCAGGTGGGCGACGCTGTGAAAACTTATTCCTAAAATTTGAGTATTTTGAATGAAATATATATAGGTACGGTATAAAACAGATATAGACAGATAGTGATGACAAATATTTTTGTGCTTCGTCCCTAGAAATCAAGGAGTGCCCAGTTCTGGTTAGATAATTCAGAAATTTCCTCAGTGAATAAATAAATTGTTCCATCAACCTTATTCACTCCTTGCTTGATAAAATCCATTTAGGTTTCTCCCTCCCTACACAGCTCTCTGTTATAAAACTCTTTTTTTTTTTTTTCTCCTCCACAACTTTTTATATGTTTTTACTTGTACGAACATTTGTTAGTAATTTCGTTGTTCTGTTCTTTGGAAATTTACTCGATAAATACGATTCCTTCACCTTCAAAATGATTCCATTTTTTTTTATCTATTCTCAACTACCGAGAAGAATATATATATATATATATATATATAGAGAGAGAGAGAGAGAGAGAGACAGGAATACTTGACGTTTTTATTATTTTTATTGGTGTCTTATATTTTCAAAAGAGTTTATAATATATATATATATATATATATATATATATATATCGCATGTCATATATATATATATATATATATATATATTATATAATTTAATTTTTGCTTTTCATTTCCTTATTGTACACGTTCCTCTGTCCTGTTCATTGCATTTGTCTACAGGACACTTCCGGTTCCTCCTCATTCTCTTAATTTCATCATGGCTTCACGGAAATTGAAGAAGGCTAGTAAAATAGAATAAGAATATATATGGAAAGCCGCTTAAAGTAAAAGATAAAATTAAGATTTTTTTTTCTTTTCCTTTCATTTCTTTTTTTTAAATCCTGCTTCATTTTGTTTTCTTTGTTTTTTGTTTTTTTTTAGTACATTAAGTTTCTTTCTTTTTCAGTATCTAATAGTATATTTCGAATAAAGTTTATTCTTTGTTATTCTTCTTTGCCCATATAGCCCATTCTTCGATTTCGTTCTGTGTTTCTTCCAAATCTTCAACAGGTCTTCATTTGCTTTGCTTGTGGTTCAAATCGCCAAGGATTCTACGATCTCCTCTTTTCTTTCTTCCAAATCGCCACCAGTTCTTCGATATGTCACTTTGTTTCTTTCCTTCCAAATCGCCACCAGTTCTTCGATAACTCACTTTGTTTCTTTCCTTCCATTTTTTTAAAATGTTATCTTTATTGCTATCGTTTTTTTTCTCAAATTTCATTTTAACTGTTTACTATTTTTTTCGAACTTCATTCAATTGAAGATCTTTTATTTCTCATTTATCCCAATCTTCCTTTTTTCCATTTAATTTTAATTTTTTTTTTTTTTTTTTTTTGTTTAAGATATTTTTCCTTTCGTCATTTTTTTGTTTCATTCTTTTTATTCTCGTTCGATTCTTTTTATTTATTTTCTGTCTGGTAATCTTATACGTCATAAGATTTTTTTTGTGCACTGATTCATCCCGCCATCTTTAGTGCGTTCTTTTGTCTTATTTTTCGTATTGTATCTCGTTCATCACAGTTTGATAAGTTATGGGAGCATATCATGTTTGTCCTTTTTTCAAATCTAACTCGGAAATCATAAGTGACTCTTTACCGGAAATTGCTAAATAAATAAATAAAAATAAAATAGCTTAAGAAGGAGAAAAAAAAGATAAATTGAGGCAGATGAGGTAAAAGAAAAATTGCATCATCAAAGGCGAAAAAAAGAAGTGCGATTAAATGAAAAGCTGAGTTGAGGATGGAGGAAAGAAGGCAAAAAAAAGAGAAAGGGGAGTAAAGAAGGCCAAAAAAAAAAAAAAAAAGAGAAGAAATCCCAAAAAAAAAAAAAGAAAAGAAGGGATAAAGAAAGCCAAAAAAAAAAAAAATAGAAAGAAGGGGAGTAAAGAAAGCCAAAAAAAAAAAAAGTTTCAGATTAAAGAAAAAAAACAAAAATAGAGAGAGAAAAAAAAACATAGAGATCATAAGAAGGCCAAAAAAACAAAACAAAAAAAAAGAAATTTTAAACAGAAGGGTCTCAAAGAAGGCCAAAAAAAATAGAGAAGGGGGGTAAAGAAAAATAGAGAAGACTATTAAAGAAGGCCAAAAAAATAGAGAGAATTTGAAATGGGAAAAAAAAAAAAAGGGGGGTTAAAAAAAAAAAAATAGAGAGGGGGGGGTAAAGAAAAAAAACCGCCGGAAGGAGGGGGGTTAAAGAAAAAAAGATAAAAGCAGCTGGCTTCAAAAAAATCAAGATACACAACGAAAGACAAAGATGAAGTAAAAAAAAAATGTGGTTTTAAAAAAAAACAAAAAGGGGGGTAAAAAAACAGAGAAAAAAAAAAACGGAAAAAGAGGGGAAAATAATTAAAAAGAGATTTTACAGTTTTTTGAAAATAGATGAACCCTTCATCTCCGACTGTTCTAAGGTGCCATTTCTAATATCCAGTTATCTTCTGTTAATCAATTTGTTTGATCCAGTGATTGAACCCAAACAGTTTGAGTTCACTGGAATACCAAAGCCTTTATCCAGCCATGTGTCGGATGGACGGGAACTAAAAAGGGAAATACCTGGTTATAGCGGTAGAAAAAAGGAGATAACCGATAACTGACATCCATAAGACATGGCACGTGGAAGTAGAACAGTCTACCCCAGTGAGCGAAATAAAGGGTTCACTTCGACATTCCAACCCTCTGAATTTTTTGGAGCGTACAACGGCCGAAACGTTGTGATAAATATGGCAACAAAGATGCGGCTGATAGTCCGAACAATGTAAATAGTGTACATAATACCTCATCTCAGAAATATAGGCAGATACCGTGAACCAACTTTGCTAGCTGCAGGCCTAGCAATTGATTCAGTTTCATCTCATTCCAGTGTTAGTGGGAAATGTGAAACGGAGAAGGCGAAACCAGTTCCTCCCTGAAGGTTAGCATCAGCCATGCCGATAGAAAGCAAAAATGGATTAATAAAAGATAGCAGTTTCGTTTTGGAGCTCTTAATATTTGCAAGCCGTTTCTTATCCAAGTTAATAACTGTTTAGGTATTATCTCGAGAGCAGCTATCACTTTGTCATGACATATCGGACGCACAGGGCGTCTATAAAGTCTCCTTACAATTAAAAAAATATTACAGAAGCAAATAAACATACAAATATATAGAAATTGTTATAAAACGAGGAGTACATACTGAAGTTATTTGAACTAATTTAATCCACCTCTATATGGGCAACCATGAGTTGCAAGAAGCACATCAATACGGTACTCGATTTCTAGCTATGTTCGCTGTAGCATAGTCTCATCAATAGTGGAAATAGCATCAGTGATCTTTTCCTTTAGATCTGTGACGTCCCGTATCTTTAGTCGATAAACGTTACCTTATAACCCCAGGAGGCACGGTGGAGTAATGGATAGCGGCTTGGAGGAATCGGAGAGCCGAGTTCGAATTCCAGTCGAATCCATTACATTCACTTACGTGCTAACACCCTTGGGAAAGGTGTGAATCCTCTTTCTTCTCCCTCCAGCTATGGGTAAATAGCAGGACAGACTGGGTTCTATAGCCTTGATGGCAACTGGTCTAGGAGAAGGAAAACTCTGAATTCAAAACCTGCTCTTAGATGAGGGTGAATGGAGTCTCTGAGCCTTGGTTGGCAATCCATATAGTGATGGTGTCACGATAAAAAACACCCTTGATAGCCCTAGCGAAGCATCAAGAATTCAGCTATTTGACAAGATTATGAACTACATCAATCAAAGTATTAGTGAGTTCAATCTCGGCTGAGGCCGCATGATGATGATGATAACCCCATTGAAAGAATTCTAGAGGAGTGATATCTGGTGAACGAGGTGGCCAGGGAATTGGACCATCCCTTTCAGTCCGCCGGTCTGGAAATGTTAGAGGTTCATTTTAACAGTACCTCTGTCATTAACAGGATACAGGAAAAACACAATTGTAATATGATTAAAAACTTTGATAATTACTGAGTACATAAAACAAATCTGATAAAGATATCTCATCAATTGCCTTTGTGATATACAGTGTTACCCGGATATAAGAGAGATTTTCCTCTGGTCCCAAATTAGAGCCTGTGTTAATGTATATAAATTAGACCAAACCCAGATATAAGAGACTTCTTCTCCAGTCCCGACAACTCTCTTATATCCGGGTTACACTGTATATATTATTTTAAATTTTAAAGAGACTTTATGGATAATGAGCGTCCAGATAATTTGGTCGGAAAATACAAGTGTCTGGGGTTTTCTTACCTCGAATTTTTGTTGAGTTCTAAGAGATAAATGTTACTATTATGGTCTGGAAAAGGATTATTGAGAAAGGGGTAAATTGTTGTCATTATAAATAACAAGTTGGGACCTGATGACATCGAGAAGATCGTTGATGAAGATAATGTAGGTGGACTGACGATAAGAAACAGGAGAGTGAAAAGGAGAAGCAGAAAAAAAAGGAACTATAGTTACAAGAAGAGAAAGAGGAAGGATAGAAGGGGAAGAAGAAAAGGAGCTTTGGTAGTGGTGGTGGGAGATAATTAAGATTGAAATAAAGAGATAGAAAATGAATAAGAGGAGGAGGAAAGTTGGGTGAGGAGAAGAAAAAGAAAAAAAGAGGAACAAGGAATGAGAAGGAAAATATTTCAAGATCAAAAGAAAGCAATTCAGGGAAAATTTATGATGAACTTTGAAATAGATTGAAGAAAAGCCCAAAAAGAAATAAATGTTTCCCAAAATAAAATAAAACGTAGACAAAAATCTAACAGAAAAAAGAGGATGATGCGACAATTAATGGCGTAAAATTGATTGAAAAAATAAAAAAAGAGGAGGGAGGGAGGAAGGAAAGAAGGAAAACGGAGAAGGAAGAAAAAAAGGAAGAGGAGGAAGAAAGAAAGGAAAAAAGAACAGACTGAAAGAAGCACGGCAAGAAAGAAACGGTGGAAGGAAGAGCAGAAAGAAAGAAAGAAAGAAAGGGCGGAAGGATGAACGGAAAGAAATAATGGAACGGAAGAAAGAGCCTAAGAAAGAAAGGAATAGGAAGTAAGAAAGGAACGAAGGAAGGAACAGGAAGAAAGAACGGCAAGAAAGAAAGGGTGAAAGGAAGAGGAGAATAAAAGAAAGGGTGAAAGGAAGAGGAGAATAAAAGAAAGGGTGAAAGGAAGAGGAGAATAAAAGAAAGGGTGAAAGGAAGAGGAGAATAAAAGAAAGGGTGAAAAGGAAGAGGAGAATAAAAGAAAGGGTGAAAGGAAGAGGAGAATAAAAGAAAGGGTGAAAGGAAGAGGAGAATAAAAGAAAAAGAGGGTGAAAGGAAGAGGAGAATAAAAGAAAGGGTGAAAGGAAGAGGAGAATAAAAGAAAGGGTGAAAGGAAGAGGAGAATAAAAGAAAGGGTGAAAGGAAGAGGAGAATAAAAGAAAGGGTGAAAGGAAGAGGAGAATAAAAGAAAGGGTGAAAGGAAGAGGAGAATAAAAGAAAGGGTGAAAGGAAGAGGAGAATAAAAGAAAGGGCCTGAGAAAGAAAGAAACGAAGGAAGGAACGTATAACAGGACAAAGAAAAGAAGGGAAAATAAAATAAGTGAAAAAGAAAGGTAAAAGAAAAACAGGAAGGAGGAACGAAAGAATGAAGTGGGGAAGATGGAAAGAAGAACGAGGAAAAACGCAAAGAAGGGATTGGGGAAAGAAAAAACGAGGAAAGAAATAAAGAAAAACAGAACAGGAAAAAATAAACAAATTGTATTAAAGGAATAAAGTCGGGTGGGTAAATAAAAAAAAATAAAAAAAAAAAAAAGCGAGGAAAGAAATAAAGCACAAAAACGAAAATAAATTTGTATAGAAAAGAAGAAAAAAGGGAAGAAAAAAATGGTAAATACAAATAAAGATGGCGGCTGAAAATGATTAGCAGACAGACTTTTTTTTTTCAAAAGACAAAGAAAATATTGTAAACTAAAAGCAGAGAAAGAGAGATAAAAAAAATTGAAACAAAGAAAAAGATCAAATAGTACGAAAAGGAAAGAAAAAACGAAAACATTTGCATAAAATTAATGGCAGTTATCGTAAGTTCTCTTATTGTCCACTTAGCAATGGTCAACATCCAATCTGAGCTAATTAAACCACAGTTCGGAAGATTTTAAAGATACGGCTTAAAGGACTTCACCTCTGACTAGTTTAATCGGGGCTGGAAGGTGCGAGTGGTTGACGAAAACCTTTTGTTTATTTGTTTATCTTCACAACACGAACACTTTCTGCTCTCACTTGATTTGTCACAGGGAAAAATTTATTAGTGAGATGTTTTCAATGGCTCTTGTCACCTCCTTTCAGCCATGTTTAGAGTGTTTCTTGTTTACTTTATCTCTGACTTTTCCATTTTTTTTTTTTTTTTTCACCACCCTATATTTTTATTTTCTGAAAAACTATTTTTTTTTTTTTTCACTGTCTAATCTTTAATTAGGCTTTCCAGCTGGACATGATTGTTTATTCTGTTTGTGATTCTCACCTCGCCATTTGTCATTTCATTACCGTTGATGACAATGTTTTCTATAGTTTGTTTTGGGCTCTTTTGCCGTTTTCTTTTCGTCTGCTGGCAACAAATAATTGATGTCTTTTCATGAAATATATCGAGGAGTTATCACATTGGGTGGGAAGAAAAGGCGATAAATTTCAGCAGGAATTCAGCATTATTTGAGCAGAAATATTAATTTTATTAGAACTTGGTGGATGGAACTTAAAAATCAAAAAAGTATTTCTAAATGTGTTTTGTTTTTCAGGAAAAATTAATATTTGAATATCGTTTTTTTTTTTTTTTTTTTTTCCTCTTTACTTTTAGAAAAGAATCTATTTGCGGGTGTGGGCATCGTAGTTCTACATAACTTCCCGTGTTTTATAATCTTCTTCCACGTCCCTTCAAGACATAGCTCTCCACAACTTCCTATCTCATGTTGTTAGCAGTTTTTCTTTGTGATTATGTTCCCGTTCCTCATTCAGCCATCGATTCATACAAATCGTCAGGTAAGCGACTTGCTGCCTTCCCTTATATCTCATGTACTCAGTATACCCTGTGAATGTTAAATTTTCCAAGCCCTCTTCCCTTACAGTGTGTCCAAGGAATTTCCCTGATTCTGAGTAGAAGTGTTCTTTCTGTTGCCATTTTCTTTGAATTCCTTGTTGCTGCCTCACTCCGTCCAATGAATTGTAATTATCCTTGTGTAGAACCACTGTCTTTAGTCTTCCCCTCATCCGTGGGGAGATTGTCTAGCATTTACAGCCACCTAAGACGATGGATAACTCATAGCAATTAAGCACACTTTTCTTCGTTTCAAATGAAATGAAATCAAATATTATTACTTGTTTCTCAATTAGTATCTTACCTACATTTTTATATATATATATATATATATATATTTATAAATTAAGATTTAAAATATGGTTACCAATTCCAACTATTTCAAAATATATAAAATATTTATTTTTGCAAATAAATTAAAATATTAGTTCTATTTCATCTTCAAGCGAATTTATATATATATATATTCGACGTATGAGGGTCAAGCAGATCAGTTTCTAAAAAACCGACATTTGAGATTTGATTGCAGTGGTAAAGGTTTTGTGCAGAACCATCCAAATTTTCTGAAGGTCCCTTTGAATTCAGAGTTGTCCTTCACCTAGACCAGTTGCCATCCAAGGCTATAGAACCCAGTCTGTCCTGTTATTTACCCATAGCTGGAGGGAGGAGAAGAAGATTAATACCTTTTCCAAAGGGATTAGCACGTAAGTGAATGTAACTAACTTCCGGCTTCTTGATTTCCAGTCAACTTTGATCTTCAAAAATTTCAATGCAAATCACGATCTTCTGTCTTAATAATGATTTTATTTTCTTATGTTGCACGAAGCCCTTGCATCTTCGTGGCTTTATTGCCTTGCTTGAGTTGAGCTGATTAAAAAAATTAATGCATTTCTGTATTTAAAGCAAAATCGTTTTTCATTGCTTTAGTAGAGTAAATAGTTTACAGTGACTTTTTAGCTGCGAGGAAAACGGAAAAGGCATATTAGAAAGGCTGTTTTCAATGTGAAAGAAAGAGAGAAAAGATAGATGTGTTGATAACACTCTCGTACGTTTAACGTCTACCTCAGTGAAATGGAAAACATTTTCATTTCCAAATCTTTACATACAATAAGTTATAATTAACTGAATTTTGGACTGAAATATTCTCTGTATAAAGTCCGTTACCAAAAAATCATTGAGTTATTTTAAAAAAACATAACTGATCTTTCTTTTTTTATATTATGATCTTAACATATCGATTTACCCATTTATTGAAAGAATAGACAGAGTAAGGAGTGTAAGACAAGGATGTGTTTTCTCACCGGACTTATTCAAATGTTATTTATTTAAAGAAACAGTGACTGTTCCCGTGTCAGCAAAATAATAACATAAATGTTATTTATTTAAAGAAACAGTGAGAGAAGGGCTACATTAACCAAGGTGTTTTGTTAAGACAGAAAATTATCTCTCCTCTTTAGGGTAAAAGGAAGCTTGTTGGCAATAAGCAAGGAAACTAATCTAATCTGTGGGATGTAGAATATGATGAATTAACAAAAAATAAATAAATAGCATCCGAACTCTTAATTTGGAAGTTAGAAATCAACCATTTGGAATCCTTGAAGGTGCAAGCAAAATTGATGAAGATTGCTTTCATCCCAAAGAAATATCTGCTGAGGTCCGAAAGTTTTTTTTCGCCGTCGTACGCTTGTCATGAGGATAAGTCGGAAATCTAAAAATGAACCGAATCATATATTCGGTGAACTGTAATGGGTTAATGTGATTACTTTGGCCCTGTGGAAGAGTGTCAGGAAATATCCGAAACAATTGTCACTTTTTTTTTTTTTTAAGCTGATTGGGTACATTTCAGACTGTGTAAGTCCTCGACTTTTCAGGTGACGTATTTCGCTTTATATTTGCGCTGGGAAAAGTTTACTCTGTTTAATTTTCATTTTCTTTTCTTCATTTATTTATTTTGGTTGTTTGTTTTTTTTATTTTTAGTTCGGATGTTTGTTTTTTCATTTTTATTTCGGATGTTTGTTTTTTTCATTTTTATTTCGGATGTTTGTTTTTTTCATTTTTATTTCGGATGTTTGTTTTTTTCATTTTTATTTCGGATGTTTGTTTTTTTCATTTTTATTTCGGATGTTTGTTTTTTCATTTTTATTTCGGATGTTTGTTTTTTTTCATTTTATTTCGGATGTTTGTTTTTTTTTTTTTTTATTTCGGATGTTTTTTTTTTTCATTTTTTATTTCGGATGTTTTTTTTTTTCATTTTTATTTCGGATGTTTGTTTTTTCATTTTTATTTCGGATGTTTGTTTTTTCATTTTTTATTTCGGATGTTTGTTTTTTTTCATTTTTATTTCGGATGTTTGTTTTTTCATTTTTTATTTCGGATGTTTGTTTTTTCATTTTTATTTCGGATGTTTTTTTTTTCATTTTTTATTTCGGATGTTTGTTTTTTCATTTTTATTTCGGATGTTTGTTTTTCATTTTTATTTCGGATGTTTGTTTTTTTTCATTTTATTTCGGATGTTTTTTTTTTTCATTTTTATTTCAAGGATGTTTGTTTTTTTATTTTTATTTCGGATGTTTGTTTTTTCATTTTTTTTCGGATGTTTGTTTTTTTTTTTTTATTTCGGATGTTTGTTTTTCATTTTTTTTCGGATGTTTTTTTTTTCATTTTTATTTCGGATGTTTGTTTTTTTCATTTTTTATTTCGGATGTTTGTTTTTTCATTTTTTATTTCGGATGTTTGTTTTTTCATTTTTATTTCGGATGTTTGTTTTTTCATTTTATTTCGGATGTTTGTTTTTTCATTTTTTTTCGGATGTTTGTTTTTTTCATTTTTATTTCGGATGTTTGTTTTTTTCATTTTTATTTCGGATGTTTGTTTTTTTCATTTTTATTTCGGATGTTTGTTTTTTTCATTTTTATTTCGGATGTTTGTTTTTTTCATTTTTATTTCGGATGTTTGTTTTTTTTTTCGGATTTGTTTTTTTTCATTTTATTTCGGATGTTTGTTTTTTTCATTTTTATTTCGGATGTTTTTTTTTCATTTTTATTTCGGATGTTTGTTTTTTCATTTTTATTTCGGATGTTTGTTTTTTCATTTTTATTTCGGATGTTTGTTTTTTTCATTTTATTTCGGATGTTTGTTTTTTCATTTTTATTTCGGATGTTTGTTATTTTTTGTTAATTTATTGTGGATGTTTGTTATTTTTTTTATATATTTATTTTATTCTCTCTCTCTCCATCACACACACACACACAGATTTTTTTTTTTTTTTTTTTGTAACGGTAGTGGTTTGGCAGAAAAGTGAACCTGGGCTAAAATTAAAGGGCAACAAATGTCGAGGGACACCACATCAAGTGGGGGTTTCTCCTACAATGGGGGACGTAGCTTCTAACCCTGCCTGAGTCACGTACTGTTACTTTGTAGAATCGACTCCCAAGGATGCTTCTCCAATCACTATAATCTTAACCTATATCCCCCCCCACATATCCGTATGAACTGTGCCTTTTACTCTGTAACCCTCTGCCTGAGTGTTTCTTGGGCCCTGTACACGGTGAACATCATTGTAAAAAGAAAATCAGATTTTTAAGTTTTCCCAAGGGTATTGCCTGGTAGACGTTATCCACACTGTTTGTAATTTAAAAAAGAAAAAGATCAAACACTGGTATCAACTAAAAATACCCTTTGAAGTAATAAAGAAATGTTAGAGTAAAACAAATCCCTTATTACTTCAGATATATAAAATAGATAATAGCTAGCGAATCGTATTCGAAGATACTTGCCTACTAGGGTGGCTCGCTAATCCCTAATTCAGACGCACGTTCAGGCACATATGTGTTTGCTCAACACCCACACAGCCCACCTGTGGTTTATATTGCAACTATGCTGAGCAGACCTTAGTTACAGTTTCTGGGAGAGAGCGCGTTATCTAGCGTGATCAACAATCTGAACAAGGCCAGCACACTCAATCCCTCGGTCA